TATAGCCTTCTCACTGAAATTGTAGTTTTTTTTTTATTGTAGTGTAGGACTACAAACACTTGTCTTTTTAATGTAGAGGACGTGGTTGCTGTATCATCAAATGCAGTGTGTAGCGTCTTTGTAATCCAAAAAGATAATTGGTAGACGAACGAACAGCAATTGGTTAGAAAACGTTACGTTTTATTTAAAAATTTTCTAATTCAGATGCATTTCGGGTTGGCTTATATTCCAACCCCTCTTCAGTGCTGTTAAAATTACACAAAAAATTAAGGTTAGTTTTACGACATTGGTGGTAGGAACATAACTAAAACGCGAGGTGATGATAACATAAAATGCTTGGAACGGAGACTTGCTGAAAGTAAATACAGTAGAACCTCGATTATCCGGACTAATTGGGGATGAAGGTAGTCCGGATAAGGAAAAATCCGGATAATCGAAACAAATACTTTAATTTGTCTTTTAATGATAATACAACACGTTTTCTTTTCGATGACATATCGGTAATATTAAAAGTAAATACAGTATTTAAATCGTGATCAAATTTTCAAGAAACAAACGTTCGTATTGAATTTGTACTACTACTGACCAACGCTAACAGACTACCTATTGTTTAAAGGGCCCTCTGGTGGTGCAAGAAGACGGATTTTATAAAATAAAAAGCAGTTGAAACTGCATTTTTATGAATAAAAATTTGACAAACTATTTATCGTTTTATGACGAGTAAAATGTTTTCGTCGCGTTCACGGCTTTTAAGTAATGCATAAACCTTCGAGGCGCGAGGCCCTTCGGACTGCGAGGCATAGGCAGTGGCCCACGTCGTCAATGCCTTACGCCTCCCTTCGTCATAGAAATGATGTAATTTGAATATAAATTACAGTGGTGCCTCGTACAACGTACTTAATCCGTTCCAGGTGCACGTCCGTTATACGAAACATATTTTCCCATTTCCCATGTTAAAACACATAATTTGTTCTGAAGCATAAAATAACTGTACTGTACTGTACCATAAAAAAATGAAAATGGAGCAGTCACCAATTATGCCGGGTAGTCAGATGTTGTGAGGAGGAGGTGGAGGAACACTTTATTTACACATTCATACAGATACACACTTTTTATACATTGCAGCAGGTCCCTTTTATTGTTTTTTAATCGGAGTCAGATTCAGGAGAGGCTACCGGAGCTTGCAGGGGCAACTCCTCTTGTTCCATCCTTTGTTTTTTGCCCGCTGGCTTCTTGAAAAACATGACCAAGGTGGTCTGTTTCTCTTTCTTCTTTAACACCTGTCGGAAATGACGGACAAAGGTGTCATCGTAGAGATCATTGATCCTGTTGGCTCAGCTGTTTGGATAATGAGTGTTGGTAAACTCCTGAACCTCTCCCCATTCGACAAGAAAGTTTTTGTCAACTTTCACTCCTGATGATTTCTTGCTTTGTTTCAATTGAAATCACCTTTCTGTTTTTTTAGATACAATACCATGATGCATTATAAATGACTTAACTTGCCAGATTATATGATACGAATAATTCTTTATTAATTAAGATTACTAAACACTTCTACGAGCTACTCTCGTAGAAGTGTTTAGTAATCTTAATTAATAAAGAATTAATAAGAAATCTCGCTCCGTTTGTTTTTTACAACCTCTTTTCGTCCGTCCCGCCACCTCGGCATCTACACAATTACATTTCGTTTATTTGAATCGTCAACATATATTACATTACATTTAATGTTTATTTAAATCATCAACATATATTACATTACATTTAATGTTTATTTAAATCATCAACATATATTACATTACATTTCTACTTCAGATATACTAATAATACATTCTAATAATACTAATATATCCTAAAAATAGCAGA